TGGCAAGTTAACGTGACATCTGTCATTTAACTGACGGAAGGACCATTTTAGTACCAAAAATAAAAGTTCAAGGATAATTTTGGTACTTTTTAAAGATGAAGGACAATTTTGGTACCAAAGTGTAAAGTTGAGGGACTAAAATGGTACTTAAACCTTAATTTATTTAGGTTAAACCCCTATTTTGGTCCCTGAACTATTCTACGGACCCCCGATTTGGTCCCTAAACTAAAGAAATCCCTTATTTGGTCCTTGAACTATTGTACGGACCTTTGAGTTGGTCCTTAAACTATTGTACGAACTCCCAAGTTAGTCCCTAAAATATTATACGGATGCCAAATTTGGTCCCTACTGTTACCAATTTAACCCTAACTTGGTCCTTCTATTAAATAATAGCTCATGGACCAAATTAGGGCGAAATTGTAAACAGTAAGGACCAAATTAGGGGTCCGCACAATAGTTAAGGACCAATTTAGGCCAAATTATAAACAGTGGGGACCAAATTGGGGGTCCGTACAATAGTTTAAGGACCAAATTAGGGATTTCTTTAGTTCAAGGACCAAATCGGGGGTCCGTACAATAGTTCAGGGACCAAAATAAAGATTTAACCATTTAGTTAATATTTAGTAATTTTCAAGGCTTTTGATCTAACAAAGGTATGATTATATACATCCCTCCTCCTTCTTTCTCTTTTTCTTTTTTTTGACATATTTTTTTGTAAAATTTTAGGTAATAATTCTTTTTTAACTGGAATATCCAATTTCTACATCATTTGTGTACAAGTACTTGTGATGTATGGTAAGACAAGATTAAGCCATTCAATGCGCAATTCTCACGTTAATATCAAACAATGCATCCATGACTAGCAATGTAGAAACTGCCTATGAAGCTTGGACAATCTTACAAAGGTTGTACACTAACAACTTTTGAGAAAGAGTGGTTGCTTTGAAAGAATGACTATGATGCTTAAGTACAAGGCTAAATCTCTATTTGCACCCTGAACATTATTTACTTATTTTTTGTAGCCAACACTTTCAAAATTTGAAATTAATAAAATACTTAAAAGTTAACTACCAAACCCCTTATTTGACTTGCACAAATCCCTTATTTGCATCTTAACTTGCACATGACCTAACTATTAATTTTGGATTTTTTATGGTGATTAAAGTGAAAATTCAATAGGGTGTTGATTGCAAGAAACAATACTATCAAAAATGCAAATAAAGGATTTGGCCATTGCACAAACCACTATACACAAAAACATTGTCCTTTTATCGTTTTCACCTTGTCTATTTTTAGTGATT